AAATGTCCTCATAAATTAAATTTGCATACGTTGTTAATATTGCACAAAAAGTAATATCGTATTTTTTAATGCATCAATGGTTTAAACATTATCAGCTTTTTATACTGACCTACCCATTGAGAAAACGACGGGGGTTGTATTTTGAGACCGGAAGTCCTCTCTCAATGATTCTATAAAGGAAGGAGTTGAAGAAGAAATAAAAAATATACGCAAAAAAGTGCTGCTTCAACTTTCCTTAAAACAGGATAGCTTCTTCCGTTTGTCTTCGTAATAAAGTTAAGATAGGTAAATCATGTGCTCAAAAACATTGCATTTTTAAAATTAGGGCAAAAAAATCTGAAATTCTGAAATATTGTTCATGTTGAGCCTATTTGGTAATATTAAAATAAATGTAAAAAGTATATTCTAAAACTAATAGCAAGAAAAAAATTAAATTACTAAGTGCAGTACATTACCCCGATGGCTTCAATAATAACATTATGGGTTAAAATAAATCATTTAGAATATTGTTTATTACATTATCAAATTGCCTTGTTTATTTTAGGGTTTATAAACACTTGACAATCAAAACACATTGGTGCGTTGTTGTATCAGCAAAACTGTGTACTTTTTGTTGATAAAAAAGTAAATGTTCATTATTGTGAATCTGTTAATCTGTGTAGGGTAAATCCTACTAAGCAAATACTAAATCACTAAGAATGCAGGTTTGCTGCAATAGAGGTATTTTACAGTTTTCAAAGTCACCGGAAAACGTATAGAGTAAACCATATCTAAATAATTTTTAGAGGTGAAACTTCAAAGGAGGAGGGTCCGATCGAATAAAAGAGTCTTGGCAAGGAATTTACCGGTTACTTATCATGAGGATTTGCCCTAAACTTTCTCTTATCCGTACATTTCGTTTCAGCGTTTATTAAATTTACAACTTAAAGCGGTGTTGAAATTACTTTGAAAGGGGCTGCTAAATTATTTAAAATACTATCTGGCCAAATAAAATTCACAATATTTTAGGTATGCAGTCTAATAGTATTAGATAAAAAACCTAGGTTAGTTTTCCTCTTAAAAACTAGTAGTTATAAAAAAACATGTCTATGAAAATATAATAAACGATCCTTTTTATTAGGTTATTAATTTAATTTAAATATATGTTTTAAGTATCTTAGGCCAGTAGCCTAAACAAGTTTTTTTATGTTTATTTTAATTTAGCTTTACTTTTAATACTAACATTCATATGTTGAAAATTTAGTCATAATAATATTAGCTGTACTGATATGCTGTTATTTTATTGAAATACACACTGTCTATGTAAGATATACGGAATTTGTATATGTATTTATAACGTTTCCTGCTCCGTAAACAACTTTGACAACATGAATGTCTGTAATACTATTACACGCCTATAGGTAACCAATAGGTGTAGATGATAAATAACACAATTCTTCTGGGAACCAGCAGCTTTGGTAGTTCTGATCTTGAAGTTGTCAAATGTAAGGCTTTTAAGACCAAGGGAATTGTAAAATTTGGAGTAGACATTAAACGCATAATATGCTTTGTATGATTCAAGAATTTCCATCAAACATTGCAAATACAAGATGGATAGAATAAGAGAATTCAAACGAGGCTACAAACAAATCAGCAGAACCTACATCCAATTAATTGTCTTAACGTATGAACAAAAGTTAGGATTTACGCAAATATATAGCTTACGGTTATTTTTAATTATATAATTTATATCAATTGTGTTTGATTATATATCTTAACAAACATTTTAAATTGTTCACGTGTAAAATGTTGTTGATGAAAGTGGGATTTCTTTTATAGGATTATTTTAAGAATATGGTGACACTTGAGATGGTGATTGTCCACAGAATCTGTTACTAATTTAACTTAAGAACAACATAAGATGACAGTTGTGTTAAACGCACAATTAAACAGTTCAATGCACACTGTGTGTCTATAAGCACATACACTTGATTTACTCATTCGTATATATGATACAAGCTATCTATAGTTATCTCTTCTCAATTTATAGTAAAAAAATACAAACTGCTACATATTTCAACGGTTTAAATGAATACATCAATGAAAACGAAGTAATCCAAAAAATCTGTTATTATGTAGTAAGTAGCACACACTTAAAAAAATCAATATACTGTAGCCTACCGATGAAATTAAGTTTTCACTGAAAACGTTGGTTCATTAAAGTTTGATCCTGATTTCATTCACGCAAAGTATTCTTACGAAAGGTGTTTATAGCTTTTGAGGATTTTACAACGAAAATATACAATTGTTCTTGTATTAGGCAGGACTATTCAAAATTAAATGAGAAAACACGTTCATAAGAAGTTATTTACAATAACTTAAAGAAAATAATTAAATTAAAGAAGGGAGAGAATTGAAGAAGAAGAATAAATTAATTAGACCTATAATATGTTTTGTAAGTCTTGGGATCGATGCAGCTCGAGAGAAGTATTTTCCGTAACTACTGTAATTTCATACAGTTTGGGCTACCGTAACCCGGCTGTTTGGGCTACCGTGTACACGGCTGTTTAAGCTACCGTCTAAACGGTTTTTTGGGCTAGCGTCTACCCGGCTGTTTGGGCTACCGTCTGTGGCTGTTTGGGCTACCGTCTACACGGGTGTTTGGGCTAGCGTCTACCCGGCTGTTTGGGCTACCGTGTACGTACATGGCTGTTTGGGCTAGCGTCTACCCGGCTGTTTGGGCTACCGTGTACGTACATGGCTGTTTGGGCTACCGTCTGTGGCTGTTTGGGCTACCGTCTACACGGGTGTTTGGGCTAGCGTCTACCCGGCTGTTTGGGCTACCGTGTACGTACATGGCTGTTTGGGCTAGCGTCTACCCGGCTGTTTGGGCTACCGTGTACGTACATGGCTGTTTGGGCTACCGTCTGTGGCTGTTTGGGCTACCGTCTACACGGGTGTTTGGGCTAGCGTCTACCCGGCTGTTTGGGCTACCGTGTACGTACATGGCTGTTTGGGCTACCGTCTACCCGGCTGTTTGAGCTACCGTGCACACGAGTACACGGCTGTTTGGGCTACCGTCTACCCGGCTGTTTGAGCTACCGTGTACACGAGTACACGGCTGTTTGGGCTATCGTCTACACGGCTGTTTGGGCTAACGTCTACCTGGCTGTTTGAGCTACCGTGTACACGAGTACACGGCTGTTTGGGTTACCGTCCACCCAGCGTCCACCAGGCTACCGTCTGGCCACCAAATGTTGTTCCATTTGACAATCGCTTACTCGACTCTTTGTTTTGGTGCAAGAAACTATTCCACGGAAAATATTAGATGCTTTAATTTTGCGTTAAATGTTTCTTTATTTGAGGGAAAATTAGTACTTGCATAATTAATTAGATGTCTTGAGATTTCCTTTCCATATTCCTAAAGGGAATCCACACCTTAAGTCCTACTCAAGTATTTTCGCCAGTGGTGTACTAGGATCATAAGTTTTCTAAATAAAGTTTTAAATTAATACATTTCTATAAATGCTGTAAGGATTACATAAGATTGATTGAAGAACTCAAACACATATTTTCTAGAATATGAATCGAATATCTCAAAAAATGTGTAGGTCTAAATGAAATTGAATGGTAAATAACAAAAACTATGTAATCCCTAAGTAATCAAAGTGCAAGTCATTCTGAAAAACTATTAATTATGACTTCTCGGATAAGAAAGCATTATTATTGCGTCAAAAACATATTATTTCTAGTTTAGAAGTGGTAAGATTATGCATAGGGTTATGTAACATTTTATGCTAAGTTAATTTAATTAAACCGGCTTCGATTAAACCAGTTCAGGTATATACAAACAAAACAATAAAAACAAGCAGATGAATCAAACGATTCTATTTCGGTTACTTTTATAAAATCTTTTATATTAATCATTCATAGAAAATACAGCAAATTGAACCAGGACTTTCCTTTTTACAGTGGTTCCAGCTAGTAGCCTACATGACTTTGGGAGGTAAAAAACAACCCCCTCTCGTCCAAAATCCCTATATTTTAGTAGGATTGAGCTGCGTTCAAATTGCTTACAAGTTTGGTTGCAATCCTATTACTGTAAAACCGGAGTATTTTTACAATTATTGATGTTCATAGCTTCTGAGGATCCCAAAATGAATGTACGGTGAATGTTATTTACTTTAACTTACCATAAAAACTACGGTATCTTAATCACCGTGGGTAAATTCACAAAAGTTTTTTTAACTAGACACTACAATAGTGTTCAATAAACTTCAAGTTAAGTTTTAGTGTTTTGAAATCTGAAAACAGAGCTTTAAGGTTTAAATAAGTCTTTATCATTCAGTATAGTTCAAACCGGCCGTTTTTGTGGCCAAATACAAAATAAAATTTAATGTTACATTTATGTATCTTTCTTTCCCGAACTCTTTATAAAATATATTCGAGAAATCAAGAACAATTACATTTATTTAATGTTTAAATAGATTTGAAATATTAAATTATTTTCCTAAATGTAAAATTCTGTTTACTTTCTACGTAACTTGAACCATGACATTAAGTTAATTGATTCAAAAAAGCTATTTGCTGACGTCTTTTCCCTTAACTCAGGTGATAAACAATTGAAACTTTTTGCTAAATGAAATGTGAAAGAACCGTTGTCTAAAATGCGAAAAAGAACAACCCCCTAAAAGGATAATTTTGTAAAACCTTTATATACCGACTATAATAGCACGATACGCTTCTAAACACCACATAAACATGCGAAGGAAATATAAATCTTATAAGTTAACAACTTGCCGTTCTTACGTTGCAGTAAGGGTAAAAGTTCAAAGAACTTCCCTAAATCAATATGTAATCACTAGTTCTTCACATTAAATTAATCAAATAATGTACACAACTATTTTACACTGGCAATTTCTTTTGTAAAACTTACTGTCATTGTTCAAGTTGTAAAAACTATGCAGACACGCGCCCTGGTGTATTGCGGACAAAAGTAGAGTGAACATAACCTAACTCACCAGAGATCATCTAGGCTATCAGACAAGAGAAAAGTCGTTTGTCCGAGGACTGAGGATGAGGAAGCACACAAGAACTTGTCGAGGTAGAGACCGCATATTCGGCGATGCGACGACGGACGATGTCGCGCTACAACTGTGAATGAGAACTGAGCGGCGAGCGCACAAAATCAATGTCTAACTGGTCGCCATGGCAATAATAAACAAGCGAGTTGTTGTTTCTGCCACAGGTAGCGCCAGCGGCGGCGACGGCGCGCGAACACTGTCCACATTCAAATCAGTCTGTACTAATTGTAATGTTTCAATTTTTAACCGCTTGTCTTATCCCCTACTTAAGCGTGCTGTGAAAACGGCACTTGTACGAGTAACTACTGGTCGTAAATTTTATTTTCATATTACTAACAATGTTTCGCAGTAGTGCACATCTATTAAACACTCTGTTTAGGCTAGTTACAAATATAGGTTTATTTTGTAGTAGTGGTTAATTGGTTTAATGTTTCTGTTCTTCTTAAAATTGTAAAACAATTCATTATTGGAATGGGGAAACTGTGTAGGGAAAAAATCATCATTTACGAAGATTTCTTAAAAAAATAATTGTGTTCGAAAGTGTGAAGAACGGATTATAATTATGTCAATGCACATTAAATCTGCAAAATTGTCTTATATAGTGTAATAAGCTTGGTCGCCACGAAACGCACTAGCAGCTAACTTACTGGTGGACCAGGTCCCAAATATGTAAATATTATGTTTAAATAGTAAAACTCCAACTTGAACACAGGCCATTTTAAGTAGTCCTAGCATATATCCGAAGATAAGGTTATTTCTTCCGTTATTCCATAGATGTTTAAATCTATTTTGAGGACAGCTACAAGTATTTTTTTGGGATTAAAGACGTAATTTAAAGTACCTGGTGTAGAGAATACAAGATGTATAGAGAATATACAGAAATACCTGGTATTTTTGCAGAGAATTTCTAAGATTTTGTAAATGATCAAATCATTTAAATTGCATTATGTCATCTGCTAGGAACAGCATCAGCGATGTAAATTGATAAAGTTAAGATTAGATTTATCCTAAAGTAATATTTAAAGTCATTAAATGTGGGTTTAAGATATCCGACCTTTGTCATTAAAATGGCATTATACCAATGTACATTACACCTAACCTAGGTATGATGATAATATACTTAGCAGTTTGGGGTTTTACTTTTTTTTTAAGAGGTTGGTGGCCTCTTTTAACCCTGCATTTTTGCCCGTTAAGGGTGAGTCGGTACAGTACGAAGGTGAACGTACTGATAAATTTTCAATTTTCATTTTGTTCAAAGAATTCAAAATTCTGCTATAAGGTTCATTTTTGGACAACCGCTTTGACCACGTGTCCTTCTTCCGAGATACTGCAAAGCTTATCCCAATGGATGAAATGTGCAGGAGGTTGACCTGCTGCCTGGCCCACAAAGTGCTCACGCTGGGAGAGCCTCAGTACCTCAGCGAGAGGCTTAAGTACAGGGGGGAGATCTGCCTGCGTGGTACTCGTTCCGACCGCAGGGTCCACTTTCCCAAAGTGAGGCTTGAGGTTGGAAGAAAGTCATTTTTCTTATTTTGGCCCGCAGTATAATGGCCTCCCTCAGGACATAAAGAGCTCCAAATCGTATGGCTCATTCAGGGTCGCAATGTAGAAAAACACATGTAAATTGTAAATGTTTTTTCTTTGTAGTTATTTTGTATATTATATTTCTGTATATATTAGGTTAGTTTAGTTTTAGTTTGACTTGAGTAAGTTTGAAAATCATTTATATGAAACTCGCTTGCAAATAAAGGCCTTTTTATTTGATTTTAGTGGCAGTGACCAGGATCCGAACCCACGACATCGCTGCCTTGGGCCCGATGTCCGTGACGCTACCAACTGAGCTATTGACTCACCTACTGTCCCAAACTTCAATGTAACTACTGTATCAGGCGGGAAACTTCCCCGATATTACAAGAGCATACTTACAAAGTGTTTTAAAGATATCTCTGGATACAAATCTTTTAATGCTGTCTATTCACTCCTTGGTAGTACTCTGATAGTATTATTTTTGGCGAATATGTAATAAAGCCATTTTACTTAACAGTATGTCGTGTTTGAAACTCGATTGGCTGCAATACTCACACTCCTTTGCCCAACCCTCTCACACGCTGCTCTGCACTTGCATGCGGGATGAGGAATGACTGAGGGTGACACACGCTGAACACTGCAATCGTGAGTCATACGTCATGACACGCGACACTTGGCCGTCTCTTACGCGCTCACGCGTGCGAATAAACACGCATCCAGAGTTTCAATAGGATTTGACGATCTTGGGGAACTAGCAAAGTAAGCAGTCAAAATAATGTGTGTACTGCAAATCCTGAGTGAATACGTGAAAGATAGGCATATTATCATCCCTCTCAGGGACGTTATTGGAGTTGGGTACTGCAGTACACATCGTAGCAGTATTGAGATGTATTTTTTACGAAATAGGACAAAGTGAATGAGATTCTCGTAGAAAGTACCTCGTTGATGGAGGTATCTTACAGTTTACTATAAACTGCATACATAAAATAGGTACGGTTTAAAACTTGGTGTTAGTAAAAACTGAATTTTAAAGCTTTACATTTTGATGTAACTTGAACATTATTTTTTTTTACATGGGAATGAACTAGTTACTTCACGATTGTACAATAATTATACATGCTATATAATTATTATCTCTGAATCTAATAAGTCCTGTTACAGTGCGGAATATACTGGTTCTGTTGTATTCTTCATTGAGACTTATTTCGTTATTTTGTACAGGTGTTGAGCATGAGCAGTGTAACACCACGGTATTTCAACAGATTTATGGGTTACATGAGACATACACAATGGAAGTAATTATAATCTCCCCCATATAAATGCCAACCACTTAAATATAAACTGTTAAGGTATTCTGAATCACAGAATGTTAAAATAAGCAATAGTAATTTTATTATTTTCTATCTAAAAGTATATTTCAAGATTGGTGCTCTAATAGGCTGAAAGGTGGTACAGTATATCGACAATTCTGTTAATTTTATTTAAACGTCTTGATTTTTCAACGACTACCTAGACTAGAGCATCTTTACGGAACATGGACTCGGTCAACAACTAGAGGGTATCTGTTGGATACAGACGACCAGGAATAGTAAGGACACTTTTTTACTTTTGGTTGTGAAGCAAAGTGTCACCATATGGTTAATGGTTGTCCTGTGTGAGCTGTCCCTGAAGGATTGGCTACCCTGCGTTCCACAAGTCTTGCCATTAATCATAATTTTATTATAGGCTATTTATACTCAATTGTACACTTCAACTTCTGTAAATGTTTGATTTACATTTTGGAACACTTTCATAATATGATTTAGTTACCTCAACCTTAGTAATATGAAAAGGAAGTCGATTTTCCACTTATCTAAACAGCATGTTTTACCAACCCCCCTCAATCCCCTGTTTTATTTTAGTTAGTTGTTTTCCGTTCAAGGGCCATCATTTTTTAGATCATTCAGCTAAGATATACAGGGGGGTAATAAAGTACGAAGACAGTTAAATATTTTCTAAATGACAACAGATAAATCAATAAAGCTTGGTACATCAACACCACACCTAAAAATCAACTTTTTTTAGTAAATATCAATTTTCTGTCATAGCATGGGGACGTCCAGCAAGGAGTCAGAAGGAAATTTTAAATAGAAGCAATTTTAGGTTTACATGTACATCAAATTAAAGGGCTTTACTAGCAGAATATAAAGCCGCAAATTTGAACTCAAATGGACAACCGAGCCAAGAATGACAGTTGTTCAAAGATTCATTTAATTTGCATTGCTATTATACGCTTACTCCTCAGGGGGCAAAGCCCTAGGAGTCGGAAGAAAACTTTTAACGTAAGCATAGGTCGATATGCACATCAAATTAAAGGTCTTCACTAGTAGATTACAATGCTGTAAATTCAAGCTCAAAAGAACGCCTGAGTAAAAAATGGCAGTCGTTCAAAGATTCAAAATGGCAGATTCATAAAATCTTTGAACGGCTGCTATTTTGCGCAGGATCAACCTTTTGAAGTGCGGTTTGCGGCATTGTCTTCTACTAAACAAGACCTTTCATTTGATATGCATATTGACCTATGCTTCCATTCATATTTTCTTCCGACTCCTTGTGGGCCGTCCCCTTGAAGAGTTTTTAGATCACTGAATATGTGTTCAAATAAAGTTTTATGCTCTGTAACTTTGTACCAAGTATTGTAGCTCTATCTACATTATTCTTTAAAATATTTAACTGTCTTCGGACTTTATTACCACCCTGTATATATTTACATTTAATGCATTATATAATCAACAATCTCAATTTTTGGGGAGCTTAAAATTAAGGTTAAGAAACAAATCAAACATTTTCTTTTTATTGGTGTCAATGTTACAAGTTTTAGTATGAGGGTGATTCATATAAAAAGGTCAAAGTTAGCAACTATATTATTTTTGTCTCAAATAATTACAAAATATAGTGCATTATTTTCTATTTGCATTAAATACAAACAATTTTGCGATGCAGTAAACTCTGTGCGGGATTAATTATTGCTTCAGTTTCAACTTGTGCTCGTTGCAATTAAAGAGAGAACGACGGAGTTCGCTGTGTTCGAAGTGCGTTGAATAATTTATCTAGCGGAACTGGTACTTTCCAATAAACCCTCTTTTCTTGCCTCGGGACGACAAATTCCCTTTTGACAAATCAATTAATTTTATTAGTCCGCAGTATCGAAATTTGTTTACGAAGTCAAATTAATTGCGATGACAACCTAGACCATTAGTGGTAATACCTCTTTGAATGGACTAATATGCAGGGGTAAAATATGTAGTGTCGTTTTAAAACGAATAAAGTAATTGATTTGTTGTAATTAGTAGCAATTTATTTGATTGGATTGTGCGTCCCTCACAGTGTTAGCAACACAATCTGTAATTCCTACATAACACTTTGGCTTGTTACGCTAGTTAACTTTCACGTTAAGCAGCTATAATTTCCTTTTTATAGTCAGGAAAACATAGCGGTGTATTACTGAAATATTAAATAGTTAACTTTTCCTGAATATTTCATTATATTTTAAACTACTTTAACTC